TTTTCTTTATTTTTTGACTTCTTCGGACTGATCCGTGTAAACAAAATTTCGCAATTCCGGTTGGTTGATTTACACAATAAGTCACGTGGGTACATGGCTTTAGACGACCCCCAAATTAGTCCGATCGGAAAATGTCGAAGGGTGATTTTCCTAGCAAAGATCCCATATACGTATATGATGTATCCAGGATGGAAATTGTTCCGATTCGGAATCGGGACGGTCCCGAATGAAACATTTTGCAATTTTACGTTATTTTTCATCCCGGTAATTTTGACCAATCAAAATTTAAGATCAGGTGTCAAAACAAACGTGTTTTGGTTTCTAAATAAAAAAGTTACGTGTAAAATTAAAACCAAGAAAACTATGTTATACATAGGGTTTATGATTAGAACAATATAGCGCTTATAAGTAAAACATTATGAGGAACATTTTTAATTAGCCGTAGAACGTAGTTTCCTAATTGAAATTTAGAGCTATTCTTGTTTTTTTGTAAAAAAGTGGGTTCGTTTCGATTTTTACGAACACCTGATACTGAAATTCGATTGGTTAAAATTATAGGGGGTGAACAATTTTTTGGTGGGAGAGCTAGGGGCGTCTATTTACCAGACTCAACCCTGATCAGAAATATACGTATATTATATGTAAGAAAATTTAATTACGTGTCATATGTTATGCCTTCAGGTCAAATCCGGTAATCAAATTTACTGGTGTTATACTTAGTCGGCTTTATATCCAACGGTATAAATGCATACAAGTTAGTGTTATTCAAATCAAGTAATCTATTGATCTCTCTATATTGTGATGAAATTGAAAATTTTTCATGTAAGTTCTTAATTACGGCTATAAACAACATGATATAAAATCAACATACATACTAACCAATGTTCACTGGACTAACCCACACAAGAATATAAATTTCTCAAAACCGAATGTAACAGTTACTATTCTCAAAACTATACCGGTATAATCAATTGCATCTTTGAGAAAAAATGGGTACTGTATATAGAAAATCAATGTCTAATTTTTTTTATTTACAAAAGTCTTATTATTAAATTTAGACTAAGTTAAAAACACCAACAAAAATTATTTGCCCCAAGCTATTTCCTCCTTCAGCAAATTTTGTATAGAATTCGAAAGCTTTTTTTTTATTTACAGAAGTTCCTATGCCATGTTCGTAACAATAGCCAACATTATGATATCCAAGATAATTTCCTTTTTCAGCAGATTTTAAATACCAATCGAATGCCTTTTCTTCATCTTTACAAGTACCTTCACCATGTTCATAACTATATCCAACTTTAATTTGAGCTCTTGCATTTCCTTCTTCAGCAGATTTTAAGTACCAATGAAATGGAATTGATTCATCATAATAATAGTTAAAGTAGTCACCAACATAATATTTTCCTAAACTAGATCCTCTGATAGCAGATCTTAAAAATAATTGATATGCCTTTTTCCTATTTATCATAACACCCCTTCCATCAATATAAAGTAAACCAAGAGAGATTAATCCAACAAGTTGATTTTCTTTTAATAAATTTTCTCTTAACAAGTTATTTGATAAAAGAAAGTGTTCGTGTTGATTTACAAAATTAGTTGGGCAAAGATCTTTAGATGCTTCTTCATACATATTAAATGCTTCACAATAATTTACAGTTGTACCAATCCCATGTTCATGAAAGAAACCGATGATGCTTGTAAAGTAAGATCTATCTTTATGATTATTATATTGATTAAAAATTTCATGTGGGTTTTTGTTATTGTTTTCTATATATTTTTTTATATGATAAATTATAAAACATGTACTATTTTTTGAGACACCTTGAATATCGAATTGAGTTATAAGTAATTGATTCAAATTATAAAGAAACACATTTTCGTAACTAGTAGGATTTGAAGAAAGTGATGCTTTTGGAATTATATTCAAGGCAGAATTTAAATAAAATGTGCTGGTTTGGTTTGCTTCTTTAAGAGACGAAATGGCTGAAGAGATTAATTCCAACTCTTTTGCTGTTTCATTATACAAATCAGTACAATGTTTCATCAAATCTGTAGTATTTAAACTTTTTGGTTCTAATGATAGTTTATTACATTCTATATTCATATTATTTCCCGTAAAAATCTCTTTAACATCAAATAGGTCATTATAATCAATATTATTTAAATCTTTAAAAACGCATTGAATAGTTGGACGTAGATTTGAATTATAGTGCCAACATTCTGAAAATAAATACCACAATTTTTAGTATTATATAAACTAAGTTATATGAAGCTAGATGTTAGAAAATCATTAAAAATTCACTTTCTTTTTAATGACCTTATGCAATTGTTAATTTTTACATAAGATCACTAAAAAAGGAACTATTTAGTGACTTTTCTAACATCCAGTATATTCCAGTATATGAATAATAGAATAGAAATAAATTTATTTACCTGTATATATTTTCATGTATTTTTTAGGTGTTCCAAATACTGCAACTTCACGCCTACCATGAATAATTGCACTCAACAGGTTAAAATTATAAGGTAGCTCAGATTTGAATGGAACAATTCCGCTTGAAATTTCCCAAAGAAGAACTCCAATGCTGTATACATCTGAGCTTTTATCAAATTTGCAAGTTTCAAGATTTCGTAAACATTGAGGATCAATATATGGAAAATTTTTAAATCGATTCGATATTTTGCTTTGGAATTTAAAAACACTTATTTTAATATCTCCTTTGTGAACAAATATCTTTTCGGAATGCTAAATAGAGTGAATAATTTATCATTATATTAATAAATGTTGTTAAAAAATGTAAGAAGAAAAAATTAAGGGAAATACCAATTTCATATGAATAATATTATTTTCATGTAAACATTTAATAGCACTAGTAAGTTGTCTTGCAAAACGTAACTTGTCACTCCAACTTATTGAGTTAAAATTTTGATTTAAATATTGACGAAGAGTCCCACTACATGCGTATTCATGAGCAAATATAACTTCTTGCACGCTTTGTTCAACGATACCAATGAATTTTAAAATGTTTTCATGTAATTCTACGCTTTGGTACTGTATTAGCTAAAAAAAAAAAAACAAAAAAAACCTGTATGTAAGTATATGTTATGTTGAAAATATTTTATGAAAGTAATTTACAATAAATCGTATTCTTCTATAAAAAATAAACAAGAGTTTACATTGTTTATAAAATGTTCCAGAGCAAATTTTTGAGAAAAGATAATTTTATTTAAAACCATAATAATGTTATACTTTTTTG